GCTGTAGTTATTTCAATCCACGAAGGCGGAGATTCAGATGATCCAGCAAATTTCCGTCCAATTTCCTTAATGTCTACCTTATCGAAAATCATTGAGAAGATATTTAAAGAACGATTGTTGACATTTGTACAAAATCAAAAAATGTTGGACTGCAAGCAGTTTGGCTTTCAAAAGGCTAGAAATACAACGATGCCATATTCTCATTCTTAGAAAATGTATATCTGCAACTGAATGCAAATGAAGCTGTGGCAGCAGTATTTTGTGATTTTTCCAAAGTATTCGACTGTATAAATCACAATATACTGCAGCAGAAGCTAATCTGTTATGGATTTAGATATAACTCCCATAACTGGCTGCGGTCTTATCTCACAGGCCGTAATCAAATTGTTAGGACAGGAGAAGAATCATCAGATGTCTATGATATGTGTTGTGGTGTACCTCAAGGGTCTGTACTAGGCCCAGTTCTCTTCTTGCTATATATCAATGATATAACCTCTATCAACATCAGTGGAACATTTACGATATTTGCTGACGATACAACACTTCTGTGGAATAACCGTGATGTGAATGACTTGAATAAGACTGTCACTAATGATCTTCAAATAGTAAAGGAGTGGTGCGACTGTAACCTGCTCTCATTAAATTCCTCCAAAACAAATCTAATGACTTTTAAATACTCTCTAGAGAATATTATATTAGACACACAGGTTATTATCGAAATTAAATGTAATTCTAAGTTTCTTGGGCTGTATATTGATAAACGATTAAAATTTGATAGCCATGTGATGAACTTGAATAAAAAATTGGCATCGGAGTGCTATGCTGTCAGAGTAGTTGCTAAAGAAATAGGTGTTACTGTTGCAAGAATGGTATATTTTCCATTAATAGAGTCACATTTATGGTATGGCGTTACTTTTTGGGGTGTCTGTAACCAGAATTTATTCAATTCTGTGTTCGCACTCCAAAAGAGGGCTATAAGATACATGTGTAATGCTAAATTTCGTGACCACTGCAAGCCCCCATTCCAAGCGCAAAGAATCCTTATCATACCTTGTATTTTCATAATAGAAACGGTATGTTTAATACATAAAAAATATTCGCTAACCGTGAAAGCTAATGTACATCATCAGACTAGACAAGCATCCAACTTGCCTCTACCTAAACCCATTTCCAATCTCACGAAGCATTCGATAATTTACAACGGTAAGAAGATGTATAACCATTTACCTCTGACCTTGGGAACTATACCTCTACTCAATAAATTCAGGCAAGCAGTAAAGGAACATCTAATAAGTAAATCATATTATGATCTTCAGGAATTTTTTGATGATAGGAATACTAACTAAGAGTACGAGGTAACTCCCGATTCTAGTCTTATACTTTTATTATCATATATGCATGTCTACCTTGTTCTGTTCACGCATACATAGTTCTGTTATTATTTAATTTACCTTAGTGTTATTTTGTTCCCTTATACATTGTTATTGTTTTCTACTATTTTATTGTGACATATCTCATTATATATTTATTTATTTTGAGTGTGAAAACGAAATTCATAATATATTTTATATCATGGTTTCTTCAAGTATAGGTATACTATGTATTTCCTCACTTTGTCAATAAGAAATTATTCTTGGACAATAAGGTATATTATTGATTGATTGATAGATTGATTAATTGATAAAAAAAAATCAGAGGAATGGACGTGAAGAAGTTGTCGAAAAACAGATGGAATTTTTTATCCGTCCATTTCTTTCGCATAGCTTGTGCATATTCTAAAACGACTGCTGCACCAACTCCAAGCTCTGCATACCGTTCACTTATATTCGTTGCAGCCCCTTGGAACGGTTCAAACCAATTCAATTAACCAAGTCTAGTACTTACAACTCATAATTTGAAACCATATCTTATTGGCTTCCCGTGAATGTACTGTTTGCATCTATGGCGCCCGTAATGAGGTCCATGGCCTCATCAATTGAGGGCATTCCTTTGACAAACGAGTTCTTTAGGAACTTTTTATCCAGAAGATCGAAATGAGGCCTCACTTCCGCAAATTTGTCATTTTGGTCTCAGTGATGATTATCTGATACATGTTAATTGGAGAATAGATATTCGAATCGGTCTCTTGAAATCGCTTCGGCAACAAACTCGTTGTGACCATCTTCTTCACGCTCCCAATACATTCTTCTTCTTGGGACTTGTACATATCCACTGAGCAATATAACTCCAATGAATGCTTTGAATTCTGAATTTTTCATATTTGGTGTTCGATTTTTCTGTTGGGCATATTCATTGCTGTTACTCGCGAAAAGACCCATCATTTCTTCATCAAAGAATTTCGAGAAATACTCCATTGGACTCTTCAAGTCGCTTGTTTCATGAAAACCCTCAAGACTGTTTCTGATGTAGGCAAGTCTTCCTGAGCCCACCGTACTCTTTCTTCAATGTTCTCTTCTTGTTTTTTTTTTCACCGATGATCTCAATCTTCCACGTAACTCGGACAAGGGAACGTCGTCCTCTGATGAATTATCATCATCAGTTTGAAATCTGAGTTCTGCTCGTGCTTGTAACTGCGATGCACGTAGATTATCAATTGTGAAAATATCCTCCGCTCCAGAATCTTCATCTGTGATTCCAGCCGTTGCATTTTCTGGTGGTAGCATGATGATTTCATCAACAGTTTCCGCAGTTTCAACATCATCTTCTTACATAGCAAGAGCTTCGTTGGGAGAGAAACCCCTGAAATGAAATGGTATTGATAGACCTTTATTAGCCTGATGTACTATATTTAGTACATCCCTGAAAGTCATCCTTGAAATAATATCATTTATTAGAATAATGGATGTTCCTGATCAATTCATGATATAATCATCATTCATCATGCTATTACCAGCCAATCATGGAATTTATCTCTATTTTTTATACTTCATATCGACTAAGGTTACACCGAATTCAGCCATTTCTATTTATATCTATTCTTTGAAAGAATCAAATTCGCACTTCCACTCCACAGAGCTGACTTAGTCTGCACAGGCACAATGTTCGACTATACTGAAGCATTCGCCACAGCATTGGATCACGCGCGCCAGAAATCCGCTACAAGTTGAGAATTGTCAGGACCGTTCTTGATATAGTACAATAGGTAGGTACATCTGGGTTGAGTTCAAGTTATGCACGACTTACTCGCAAGGTATGATTGATGAATCTACCATACACCTTTGCACTTAAGCCACTAGATGGCTATGAAGGCTAGATCGTCCTTCTGCCCCCTCAGGGCTTCGATAAGTTCAAATCAGTTAAAATCATCAATATCTCAAATTCGTAATATATTTTTCAGACATCATTTATATCCATATATGATCCAATAATTCTGATTTCAAAATTGATAAATACCTACCTATTTATATTATTGAAAACTGATATACCGCAAGAGTCTGTGAATTGGATGTTTCAAAGACGTCTTTTTCTGGACGTCTCGAGTTTGTCCAATAATAGAGGTCCTTCAAACGTCCATGATAGGTCCTGGACGTTCAGACCAAAAATAGCCGTACTCGGGACGTCACGTGCTATCTGGGTTGATACCCTAGAACACGATAACACAATCAGAGTACTCCCAGCTGATGCAGGCAATGCTTCAGCTATCATGGAAAAAATCGAATATGATAATGAAAATGAACAACTCATCAACGATGACAACTACACAAAATTGAATAAAGATTATTAAACAACACAAAAATCCAAAACGTGGTGGCCACATAATCTTATGGAACTAGATGATGTTCTAGAATCTAGATCATGTGAATAATGCCGAAGCCACCATCAATTTTATTTTGAGAATCTAATCTGACAATCAGTTTCCTTTTCAAATCTCCCCTTTCAACCCTGCAGTGGTGACCTGCGGTCTCTCAGAAATGCTTTTTTGAATCATGGGGCTAATGCGCGATGCTCCCTCTTCTGCTTTCCTCTAGCTTGACCTTTTTTGGGTCTCTTCGCACACTGTGAACCAGAAAGCGCTATCGTTAGCAGGAAGCTAGTAGTTATTGTTCTTGGACTGTCAGACCGACGTCATCAGTGAAGTACCAAATCTGCTACATAGATATCTCTTGTTTTGATTCATTTCATGAGAAATTAAGCGTATTCAATCAAAGGTATATTCTCATACAAATGAGATATTATGTCTAACAGAAATCATCCATATTAGGAGAGAGCAACGAAGACTTCTACATCTCATGAAATCATGTTTGACCGATGAAGAGGATCTTGAATCGAATTGTAATTTTTTTTAGATATAATCTGATTTTTAATTATGTTTTCTTCGAGTAGAATCAAATAAAGTGACTCTATTTCGATTGTATATATTTTTATCACGAAAAAAAATTGAATGTCTCTCAGACCGACCTCACAACTCATGTTTCGTGAAACCACGTCACCACTGGAGGGTTAAAAATCCGACATTATTTTCGTAACAAGTGTATATCGTGGAAATACTCCTACTAACAGATACCCCAATTTTCAATGAGATCATCTAAAAACTGTCAAAAAATTAATTATCAAATCACAAATTTTCAATAACGAAATCCTATGCATTGAAAATGTTCTTCAACCCAACTCCTATCCAGACAACTTCATTGATAGAAATATCTCAAATTAACCAAGAAAAATGGTCAGTTACTTTCTAGGTGAAAATTTTTGAAAGTGAAAAGTGAAATTCTTGATTTTCTGATGCGACAAGAGCAAGTTCCTTCTCTCTATATATTCAGCTTCTGATACACGTGCCCGTAGATATTCCATTCGATCCTATTGAAGAATTAATTATTCCCTATTGTATCCTGATTGAATGAGCGGAAATTCTCTTGAAACTCTGATTGACATCATCTGAATAAATACAAGAAACGAACGCTAAGAGCTTTGAAACCTTGCTTTTGATAGATACCAAATTTCCTATGTGACTCAACTTTATATATTCCACCCTCCTGATCTCGAATATTGCACAATTTCAGGGTCAATTCATAGAAGTACAAGTAACAGATGGAGCACTCTATCGCACGAAAATTCATTGCTACTTCTTGGATCAGACGAGAGTCATAAGACCATTACCAGGTGAAAAAAATTACCATATTTTTTACCAGATGCTCGCCGGTTTGTCCAATGAGGAGAGAGCGAAACTCAATCTCGAAGGACGTTTCCCATCGACCATAAAGTATCTTCAGTATGGAGATACAAAGCAAGATTTGACAGAGGATTTCAACAGGTAGTGTATAATCATAATATCTACCTATTCACTCACCTTGCTTCCCTTTCATCACGTTGATGAACCTTCGAATATAACATTTCGTTGTTCAAAATATTGGAAATACCTAATTGAAAAAAGTGTCATCAAGAGATTGATATAAATAATTCAACTCTGTGATGCAGGTATATAACATACATTGAATACTTCCTAGATATACACTGCAAATCGGGATTTGATAAACACCTAATTCAGTGAAATAGATAATCTACAGATGTGCCCATTATCCTCCATGCGAATAATTCATTTAGGTCTCGAACTACATGGTTTGTGTTATTTTTTGCAACTAACACAAAAGTCGTTCATTTTGATTCCAAAATAAGCTCTTGAATTGATGTTTCTATTACTGAAATTAACATAGGTATGATCCCAGCAAACACAAATATGTAATATTGACATAAGTGTTACATGACTGACCATACATATTATGTATCTATGTTATGTGATACTTACATCACTGCGTTGGCGAAATGTCCGCCACAAATACAACATGATTATTACGTAATCATGTCACCATTTCATATATATTTTATATAATTTCATTTCTATGAATATAATGTAACTAATATAACAAACTGACATGAATATAACATAACATTCTCTAGATTTCATGTGAAATTAACATCCCTATCATGTGAAAATGTCAGCTAAAAATATAATATGAATTAACGTTCCTATTACTGAAACAAACAAAGGTATGATAGCTGAGCAATACTCTCAGTTCCTGGAAGTTAAATTTGTACTTCAGTGCTGGAAGTTGAAGTTGAACTTCAGCTCCTAGGAACTGAAGAAGATGTACTAGGTCACCAAGGATAAACAACATTGTTACGGTTGGTTATCTGGGTGGTTTTTATCAGTGAAGCTCTCAAGATTCACTTTATTACTCTATCTGTAAGTGGTGTATTCGTTATTCTTGATATTTGATCCGCTAGATAACTTGTACCTGAATGATCACGGCCAACATCACTTTGTTGTCTCGCACAACGATATTGTTCACAGTGGAATATGGAGAGAAATAAATAATCTTTCTCGTCACTGTTGATATGCTTACTAACCTTACATTGTCCACTTCCTTATTAGCAGGCACTGGCGCCGTATTTGCTATTAGGGCTGGCACCTGGTCCAATTGAATTCATCGATATGACGTCAATAGAATACAGAAATGATGATGAAAGAAGATGCCATGCTAGACAAATTTCTCGAAAACTCCGTTAACTGACATGAAAACTCAAAACGATCATGCCAGAATTTGTTGCATTCTTGTTGTTAATTTGTTCCCCTTTTCAAATTTTTGTTGCTCCCTTTTTTTTTTCTGGGATTGATGAAAATAAAAGATGTCATGCTAGACAAATTTCTCGAGAACTTCGTTGACTGAGATGAAAACTCAAAAACGATCATGCTAGAATTTGCTGTTTTCTTATTGTTAATTTGTCCCCTTTTGAAATTTTCGTTGCTTGTTTTTTCGGAAATGATGGTGATAGAAGATGCCATGCTGGACTGATTTCTCGAAAACTCCGTTAACTGACATTGAAATTCAAAAACGATCATGCCAGAATTCGCCGTTTTCTTGTTGTTAATTTGTTCACGTTTCGAAATTTTCGTTGCTTTTTTTTTCGGAAATGATGGTGATAGAAGATGCCATGCTGGACTAATTTCTCTAAAACTCCGTTAACTGACATACAACCTCAAAAACGACAGAATTTGTTGCTGGTTTGTTCCACTTCGAGAATTTTCGTCGTTCTTCTTTTCGGAAATGATGGTGATAGAAGATGCCATAGTACACTAATTTCTCGAAAACTCTGTTAACTGACATAAAAGCTCGAAAACGATCATGCCAGAATTTGTTGCTCTCTTGTTGCTGATTTGTTCTACTTTGAGAATTTTTGTTGCTCTCGTGTCCGGGAATGATGGGAATACAAGATGCCATGCTAGACTGATTTCTGGAAAACTCCGTTAACTGACATATAAACTCAAAAACGATCATGTCAGAATTTGTTGGTTTTTTTGTTGATTTGTTCCACTTTGAGAATTTTCGTTGTATTTTTTTTTCGGAAATGATAGAGAAAGAAGATGCCATGCTAGACTAATTTCTCGAAAACTCCGTTAACTGATATACAAACCCGAAAACGATCATGCCAGAATTTGTTGCTCACTTGTTGTTAATTTGTTTTCTATTCAAAATTCTTGCTGCTCTTTTTTTTTCGGAAATGATGGTGATAGAAGATGCCATGCTAGACAAGTTTCTCGTAAACTCTGTTAAGCGACCCAAAAAATCAAAAACGATCATGCCAGAATTTAATGTTTTCTTGTTATTAATCTGCTCCCCTTTTGAAATTTTCGTTGCTTTTAATTTTTTCAGAAATGATGAGAAAACAAGATGTCATGATAGACTATTTTCTCGATAACTCCGTTGACTGACATAAAAACTCAAGGATGATTTTGACAGAATTTGTTGCTTTCTTGTTGTTGATTTGTTCCCCTTCTGAAATTTCCGTTGCTTTTGTTTTTCGGAAATGATGGTGATAGACCACTTTCTCGAAAACTCCGTTAACTGACATACGAACTCAGAAACGATCATGCTTCCTTGTTGCTGATTTGTTCCACTTTGAGAATTCTGGTTGCTCTTTTTTCGGGAGTGATGGTGATAGAAGATGCCATGCTAGACTAATTTTCTCGAAAACTCCGTTAACAGACATGAAAACTCCAAGATGATCATGCCAGAATTTGTTGTTTTCTTGTTGTTAATCTGTTCCCCTCTCCAAATTTCTGTTGCTCTTATTTTTTTTTTGGAAATGATGAAAATAGGGGATGTCATGCTAGACTGATTTCTCGAGAACTCCGTTAACTGATATGAAAACTCAAGAAGGATCATGCTAGAATTCGTTGTTTTCTTGCTGTCAATTTGTCCCGTTTCGAAATTTTCGTTGCCTTCTTTTTCGGAAATGATGGCGATAGAAGATGCCATGCTGGACTGATTTTCCGAAAACTCCGTTAACTGACATAGAAACTCAAAAACGATCATGCCAGAATTTGTTGTTTTCTTGTTGTTAATTTATTTTCCTTTTGTGATTCTTGTTGCTTTTTTTTTGGAAATGATGGTGATAGAAGATGTCATGCTAGACTAATTCCTCGAGAACTCCGTTAACTGACATGAATACTCAAAAACGATCATGCCAAAATTTGTTGTTGTTAATTTGTCCCCTCTTGAAATTTGTCGTATTTTTTTTTTTCAAATGATGGTTATAGAAGATGTCATGCTGGACTAATTTCTCGAAAACTCCGTTGACTGACATACAAACTCAAAAACGATCATGCCAGAATTTGTTGCATTCAAGTTGCTGATTTGTTCCACTTTGAGAATTCTTGTTGCTCTCTTTTCGGAAATGATGGTGATAGAAGATGCCATGCTAGACTAATTTTCTAGAAAACTCCGTTAACTAACATAAAAACTCAAAGACGATCATGCCAGAATTTGTTGTTTTCTTGTTGTTAATCTTTTTCTCTCTTCAAATTTCTGTTGCTCTCAATTCTTTTTTCTTCTTGGAAATGATGAAAATAGGAGATGTCATGCTAGAATAATTTCTCGAGAACTCCGTTGACTGACATAAAAACTCAAGAACGATCATGCTAGAATTTGTTGTTTTCTTGTTGTTGATTTGTTCCCTTTCGAAACTTTCGTTGCCTTCTTTTTCGGAAATGATGGTGATAGAAGATGCCATGCTGGACTAATTTTTCGAAAACTCCGTTAACTGACAAAAAATTCTGAAGCGATTATTCTAGAATTTGTTGCTTTCTTGTTGTTGATTTGTTCCTCTTGGAATTTTCGTTGCTCTTTTTTTTCAGACATAATGATGATAGAAAAAGCCATGCTGGTATAATTTCTTGAATACTCCGTTAACTGACATACAATATCAAAAACGATCATGCCATTGCTTTCTTGTTGCTGATTTGTTCCACTTTGAGAATTTCTGGTTGCTCTTTTTTTCGGAAATGGGGGTGACAATAGATGCCATGCTACACTAATTTTTTCAAAACTCCGTTAACTGACATAAAAACTCAATGATCATGCCAGAATCTTATGTTTTCTTGTTGGTAATTTGTTCTTTCTTCAAAATGTTCGATGCTTTTCATTTATTCGGAAATGATGAAAATATAAGATGTCATGCTCCACTCATTTCTCGAGAACTTCGTTAACTGAAATGAAAACTCAAAAATGATTATGCCAGAATTTGTTGCTTTCTTGTTGTTAATTTTCTTCCCTTCTGAAATTTTAGTTGCTCTTTTTTATTTTCGGAAATTATGGTGATAGAAGATGCCATGATAAACAAGTTTCTCGAAAACTCCGTTAACCGACATAAAAGTCGAAAACGATCATGCCAGAATTCGTTGCTTTCTTGTTGTCAAATTGTTCTTGCTCTGAAATTTTCATTGCTTTCTATTCTTCCGGAAATGATAAAAATACCAGATGTCAGGCTAGTCTCATTTCTCGAGATTTTCGTTAACTGACGTAAAAGCTCTTAGAAAGCAACAAATTCTGGCATGCTCGTTTCTGGTTTTTCATGTCAGTTAACGGAGTTCTCGAGAAGTAAGTACCTATATCATGTGATCTTCTATTTTCATCATTTCCGAAAAATGGAGAGCAACGAAAATTTCAAAAGGAGAACAAATCATCAACAAGCAAGCGACAAATTCTGGCATGATCGATTTTGCGTTTCAATGTCATTCAACGGAGTTTTCGAAGAATTATTCTAGTATGGCATCTTCTATCAACAAATAAAAAAAAAATGGAGAGCAACAAAAATTCTCGAAGGGGAGCAGATTCACAACGAAAAACCAACAAATTCTGACATTCAATGGAGTTTTCGGAAAATTAGTCTAGCATTGCATCTTCTATCACCATAGTTTCCAAATGAAATAAAAAGCAACAAAAATTCTGAAAGGGAAACAGATTTACAACAAAA